CAAAATTGTCTCGTTTGTATCTGGTTATTTTGGTTGATTTTGGTTTTGAAAAACCTGGAATGATTGACTTTGCCTTTACATAGTCTAATTTTTTTGTTGGATGATTGTTAGTTACACTTAAACTTACTTTTTGGTGATCTTTTTGTATATTTGCAGCTTTTCAATTGTATGTTTCTTTCTGGCACATGAGTAACTGCAGTGTCTTGTTCTTGTTTATCAGTTTGCCTTGTTTGGTGTGTCAGGTGGAGATTCACAAACATTCTGACAATCATGCTTTGAAAGTAGCTAAAAAGTAGTGCACCACTTTTCAAAAAAGTAGCTACAAAAGTAGCCACTACTGGAAAACTAGCTAAATTGTAGCTAGCTACAAATTTTGGGAATGTAGCTACAAAGTAGCTAACTACTAATTTTTCAGTAGCTATCCCAACCCTGACAATATGCTATCATTGCACATGTCACAGGATGTTATGAATGTTCTGTGACATTCCCAATGTTCTCAATGTTGTTTATAGAAAATGGCCTTTATGGTGAAGATGTGATGTTTTTTTTTTTCCATTAAAGGTTGTGTGTGTCTCTGCATTTAATTCCTTTGTCATAGTAATTCTTAGCAGGTCACAGAGAGGGGTCCTCTGAAGTTGATCCTTTGCAACAACATTGTTTTATAGCCTTATTGTCATTATTCCTGAAGCTAGAGGTAAACAAATCATCTTTTGGAATGCTTGTAGAAAAAGTTCAGCCCTCAGCAGAGATTTCACGACCCCTTAGTGATAAACCCAACAGAGGAGTTGCACATTCTTGGGTTATGGCCTAGGTCAGAGTGGTGAGACAGCTTAATATAGTCCCTACATTCTGTCATAATTACACTGAACCAGCTCAACCATTACATTCAACCAGTTTAGTTCATGCTGGGGGGTGGGGTGGTGCATGGGAGTGGTTAGGTTCCCCTTTTAGACTCTATATATTTTATATTATTTTTACCTTTTATTAAATAAATATACAAATAATCCTTAAGGATTATAAACTCCAATTTTCAGTTTTATTAACTTCAAACATCTCACTGATTAAAGCTGGTTATCATACCTGTTTATCTTTTTAAAGAAGTCCACAGATCTTGCTGTATATTTAGCATTTATGCCTCAGACTGGGTTGCCAGGTCCAGCATCTCTAGCCCAAAGTTTGCTTAAAAGTTGTCCACCAGAAGCTGAAACTTTATAATTTTCTTCTGCAACTGCATTTTAAACTGGCGAGAATTGCAAATTGGCAAGAAAACTGTGAACCTAGCACAATGGGTGCGTGTACTGTACCAAACATTGCACAGCATGAAAAGTGAAAGTGTGCAATTACACATAACCACTGCTTCTGTAGATGTGCATGCTCTGCCCTGATAACTTTTGTTTTGCATGAAGACATAGTGTAGTGCGTAAATCTCACATATAGTAATAGACATCTTGGATCCATAATGGTTTCAAAGAGGGATGGTCATTTTACAAGAGAGACGTTTTTGGTCATTATTTTTATCAGGGGATAGCATCCCCTCACATCGCCCTTCAAATCGAGCTCGGGTTATATGTGTGATAAATCACTGTTTGAGGTCTCTGTTTGATAAATCACTGTTTTGAACTTGCCCATCATTGACATAAGTGCTTGACACCCACATACACACAGGAAGTGTGTCTGTGAGAGCTGTTTTCCTGCCTGTGGCAATCATGCTTGCTCGTATGCATGAAACAAGTGCACAAACACAGGAGGGTTTGCTTGCTGTGACACTGATAAACATGCATAAACACATGGCAGAGTGGTCTGCAGTTGCATTGCTTTTCTGAGTTCCAAGCTGTACCAGGCTAATTAAAAGCACAATGATCTCTGTGGAAGTAGAGACGTATCACTACAAAATAGTGATGTCACAAAACTGATACTGTGGTACAAAACCAATGTCAACAGAAAGCATAATGGTACTTTCTACGCTATCAATAGTACTGAGTCAAAATTGATTGTACAAGCAGAGAAATACATATAGCACATTTACAATGTGTTCTCTTCTACACAGTCAGTGCTCAATGGTTGAACTTTTAATTTTTTTTTTTTTATTATTATTTTTTTTAACAGAACAAAGAATGCAAGCATGCAAAGTGTGCATGTAAGTGTTGCTTGTCTAAAACCTAGGGGGAAAAAAGGATTTGTTTTTAACTGCATCCAAATCTTTAGGGCCAATTTGAACTCCACTGCCACACAAAATAAACAACCTACTTATCTTATTTGCTTTTTAAAGATGCCACAGATTAGAAAACTGTATTTACATTGGCATAGTTGAATAAGGAGAGGTTGGTACATGGAACTGACATACCATGACCCTTAAACACTGTTGTCTCCTCTTTCAAATACAAATCCTACATTTGCAAAGAAGGGCAGTAAAAAATGGGCCAATTCCAATATCCTGAAGTGTTATGTAACAGTCTTTACTCACTAACATTTACACTCCCAAAATTTATATACAATGACA